TGACGCTACGGTCAAGCTACTGGAAAATGTAGTTAAACTAATAGCTTTGCTACATGTAGCGGCGCTACTGCCCATCACTGGAGGCTACATCCAAAAATCCAACTAAAATGTAACTCAGACCAGAACCACGGAGACATCAAGGGAAACACGCAGGAGCCAGGGAGAGACGAGGTGAGAGGACAACGGCGATGAGAGGACCAGCAACAACAAGGAACCAAAAAGGAGTGACTGCAGAGGGAGAGTATATGTAGCTGACTGACAAAGGGAGGGCTAACGAGCTGACAAGGAGCAGGTGTGAGAGGAGACAACGAGGGAGCCAAGGGGAAAGGAACACACACACACACACAAGAGGGCAACAGAGGACAACAGAAAAACATGAAAACTAACATAAATCTAGAAATTACAACAAAAAAGGAATTAAACCATTAAAACTTTGAAACATAGAGCAAAGTAAAGCACAATATAAACAAAACCATGACAGCCTCAAGTTGAAGCAGCTGCCCTTCAGTGCTGTATTATGGAAGAAATGTGTTTGGAATGTTACCATAAAATTATTTTTTTTTATTTTGCAAATTGATTAATCCGTTGATTTTTTTTTTTTCGATGAATCGATTAATAATCAGATAGTTTTTACGAAATTAAACCAGGTGAAACAGAAATGTTTTCTCTTGACAAGTTCTAGAGGGTGAATATTAACAGAAAAAAACTTTTTTTTATTTTAAATGCAAAATGTTTACATATTTTTTTTTGCAATCTTAAAAAACCTAAGTGAGTCGCTCTGTCGGCTAAAGGCACATTTTAGTGGCCCAATACTCCAGTTAATGATTAATCAATTATTACTTAGTTGACGATTATTTAAATGATCTATTAATATGATTAATTGTTTCAGCCCTAGATAAAATACATGAAATGGGCTACACAGAGTAATTACAGCCCAGATGTACAAGTTGTATATCGAAGTTAACATTTTAAATGCTCAGTGTCAGTTCCTCTTATAGTTCCAGTGCACATGTAAATACAATACATTTATTTACCGTCCCTTTAATGTATTATTTTGCTTGATACAGAGAGAGCATATTAGATCAAAAAATAAGAGTGGGTTTTACCTCTGTTTACCTCTGCACAGTTCTATACCTACAAAAGAAAACACAGGATAAATCCACATATAACAGGCATATTTAGACCTGTATTTGGTTAAATAGGCACTGGTAAGTTGAAATGTAAACCTTTTCAAAGTGGAAAAAAGTCCTAATTCCACATTCGCCAGAGCCAGTGATGCTTTAAACATTGATAAACAGCATCTAGTGTGTGTAGTGCTTATAAGATTTGTATTAATTGAAGATATATATACATGTTTTAAGCTAAAAGAAGTAAAGAGCTAAGTTAAAGCTGCAGCAAAACTTATCGTTCATATGTATCAGGGCAGATTTACAGAACAGAGTGTAGAAAACAACAGGTGCAGATGGGAAGGCTGAGAATGACCTTGCTCCGACACACACACAGAAAAAGCTGATTAACAGTGGAGCAGAAAGGCAGGAAGCAACTCCATATTTGGAGATAGGAAGTAGGGAGTATGATTATTCTGTGGGACTGTCTGTGTGAAACTGTAAGATGTTCCCCTATGAAGATAATAAAAAGAGCCAGTAATGCAGGGGGGGTCAGAGTTGCTGTTCGGAGATGCGTGCTGCTGATGCTCCTCTTCCTTTGCAAAGGCGAATCAAAGCTTTGTTGTCCAGAATTTTTTTATAGCACTCCATCTCATTTAAGCTACCTGCACTTGAATTAACGGACCCGGTGGAAAAACCATGATGGTGTTTTTCAACATAATGTAGAAAGAAATGCTGCGGTTCTCTTTAAACATACCCTGATG